AAATAGAATAGAATAGAATAGAATAGAATAGAATAGAATAGAATAGAATAACAACAATAAAATAGAACAATAAAAAGGATAAGATCAGCCAACACCTCCAAGGTCCATGAGGTCTCCCAGGTCCACTTCTTTTTGCTCCATGTCTGCATCAGGTTGTTGCATCTCTGAAAGAAACATTTCAAAACATTTTCCACTTGTTCAAAACTGTAAAAACAGAAAGCAGAAAAAAGCCTGAAAAATGTTCAATAATTTTCAAAATGAAAGTATTACCAAGAGCTTAAAAGACTTTAAAGCAACAAATAAGATCTTTTGAAGTGGGGTTCTGTGGAGAGGTGACAAACAATCAACATCTTACCTGTTCCAAACCAGGAAAAATGAACCTTAGACATTTTCAGTCTAAACTCTGATCCTTCTAACTGTTCAAATAACAAACACAGAATAAACGCAGACACACACCTCGGATGATGTCATCAAAGGAGACCTCACGCTGAAGACAGTCATGCTCATCTGGAAAGTGGTACACAAAGAAAGGAATGCACTAAAGAAACAAGCAATAAATAAATAAATAAATAAAGTTACACAACTTTTAATAGTTTTAATGCAGTTTACTATAAAACGAATGTGAAAGAAGTATTTAAACTCCTCCCTGAGTGAATGTTTGTTACAGGAAAATGTTTTTCACACACAGTCTTTGGGGAAATAAATCTCAGTTAATTGTTGACTTTTACGCATCAGGATACAATCAAAGGTTTTTTCACACCTGACAGTCTAGTAGGCTCGTTTTCATTGGGGAGAAAAATTGTAACATTTACTTTCAGCTTTTACACTGCACCGTGTCAAACAAACAAGACCCTTTGATCCAGCTGCCCCCCACCCCACCCCACCCCCCGGCCTGTGGGGGCACTGCAACAAGAACCACAGAAAGAAACAACACAAAAGCATCAGAAGACACTGAGCAAACTCCTTCCTTCCTCACCAAAGGGCATGTCTCAGCTGTGGCCCACGAAGGCCACATCCTTCACAGCAGTGGTGGATCCAGGGGTCATCAAGGGGCCACAATGTTCACAGAGGGGCAAATATTTGTTCAGCATCCTTTCACACAAATAGCCAGTTTTGGTATGATGTACATATTGTACATGCATTTTACAAAATACTCTCCAACACACAGCGTCCAGGCATCATGTGTGAGTTGAAAGACTTTTCTCTGCAGGATTGTTCAGATTTGAAGCAAAGAAAAAGACTTCTGTCAGCTTCATTCATGCTACACTTTTCTATTTGACTCATTAGCGCCTCCAGTGTTTGGACATGAAACTGCACTCACCATCACCAATCTTAGGCAAAGGACAGATCAGTGACAGCACAGGGGCACTTCAGGGGGCCAATCAAATTTCAGCTGGGGCCAATGCCCCTGTAGCCCCGCCCCTAGAACCGCCCCCTGCTTCACAGTCCTGGTAGGCTGCATGGAGCAGAGGTGAAATGGGACAGATGACTCTTCGAACGACGTGTTTGTGTGACAGCACCACCCCCTCACCTTCTTACCTTTTATCATGTACACAGCTCACTGGAATGCCCGCGTGCCGTTTTAAGTTTCGTTTTACTTTATACTGTGATTCTGTGCTTCTCACCAACAGATTTTGGTGTTCAATGCATCAAAATGGACGTCTAGGCACTCCTCTTTTGATTGACACCTCATTTGACCAACTGGGTTCATCTTTCAGCTCTCCAGAGCTAATAATCTGTGAGAAGTGACCAACTTCCAGTTTCTGTCATCCTGGGCTAGATTGACTGTAGAATTGGCCAATCAGCTCCAAGCTTCATTATGATGCCACAGCTGTGTAGCCAATCACCTCACCTTTCATTTGATATGTAGTTTGAGGGGGTGGGAACTTTGTGTAGCCAATCACAGGCCAATGTCTGAGACGGTCCATTGGTAGGCGGATAACTCCATCCGGCGGACAAAACAAAAGATCACAGGAAAACGTTGTTTTCCATCATTTTTTGTCCAGTTATCTGACTAAACCTGCTGCTACACTGGAAATATTTTTGTTATTAAGTGTTTCGAGTGCTTCAAGACACAGAAAAGTGATTTTTGTGGCCGGGAGAAGTAAAAATGTTCTGATAAAAACACTTCCTGTCGGACATTTTGAATGGCTAATTTCGTCATATTTGAGGACAAACATGCATCAAATGTGAGTAAAAAACTAATATCTTTTCACTGCTGGTGGTTTTATAAGCTGTGTGGAATGTTAATGCTCTGAAAGAAATAAAGTTATATTTGTTTATTCTTGTGGTTTGGCTGTTTAGTGGTGGAAATGGGCTGAATGTACTCGAGTTGGTATAAATATTTCTGAACATTAACATTTTTTAAATTTAATCATGCTGTGAGTAAATATGGATGGTAAAATGTGTTTTGTGGGGTTTTATCTTTAATTTGAGCCCAGAGTGAAGTCCCTGTGTTGAAGTATTTATAAATTACAGTGTTTAGAAAACATGTACATAATGTACATGTGTACAAATATGCAAATGAGACATGCTGGATTGTACTATGTCTCAAATATTCATATTTTATGCTACTGTTACCAAATTTGAACAGGTAATAGTTGGGAATTAATATTTTAGTCCAGTAAAAATTATTTCTTAATATCTCATTCCCTTCATGTTCTGTGATACTTTATTAACAAAAAATAACAAATTTAGGGAGAAAAATATCATGATTTTTGTGTATTTTTACTTCAATATACGAAATACTAGTTACAGATACAAAGACTATGACTTCTGACTTCCTCCCACAGACCAAAAACATGACTGTCAGGTTAATTGATAACTCTAAATCAGTGGTTCCCAAACCTTTTATCTTCTGACCCACAAAATATCCATGGCAAAAACTTGTGACCCCAAATATTACTGGTCTGAGTACACAAACTTAGTTAATAACCCTAAAAACACAGGCTTTTTGACAATCTAAACAGCTTGTACACAAATATAAATACTTATTTATACTTATTTTGTGTTTTTGTAATAGTTATAGGGAAAATATTACATCAGCAATTATTTTATTACCCTTTAAATTGATTTCTGGAGATTATCCAAGGTGCTGCATGACCCATAATTGGGTCCCAAGCCCAAGTTTGGGAACCAAAGTGCAGTGGTTCCCAAACTKTTCAGCTTTTGACCCACAAAATAACAGCAGCAGAGACCTGAGCCCCCAACTGTTTCTGGATGATAAACATTTGTTAACTAAACATGGGCATAGTAACAATATTTTTATACTACATTTATCCATTTTAAATACACTAACCTCACTCCTTTGTAACAACTAAGGCAAAAATGTCATTAATTCTGAAAATCTTTTCAGGACCCCACCTTGATGTTTCGGGACCCCACCTTGGGTCCCGACCCCAACTTTGGGAAACACTGCTCTAAATTGTCCCTAGGTGTGAGTGAGAGAGTGAATGGTTGTTTGTCTCGTTTGTCTCTATGTGTGGCCCTGTGATGGACTTGCGACCTGTCCAGGGTGTACCCCGCCCCTCGCACTGTGACTGCTGGATATGGGCACCAGTGACCCACGCGACCCTGAAAAGGAAGAAGCGTGTACAGAAAATGGATGGATGGATGGATGGATGGATGACTTCTGAAGTTAAAAATTCAGATTATTGGCTTTAAAAAGAGACCAAGTTTGTGAATTTACTCTAAAGGGTTCAAAAGCAGTACTTCATTTAATTTGTGTACTTTTTAAGGTGTTTTAAGGTATTTTAGGCCTGAATGTTAATCCCCAGGGCTGGATTACACATTCACACCTCACCAAGCAAACCAGTTTCATTAAAACTGACCACACAGGGTTGGTGTGAATGCACCTTAAAACAATGTACAATTATAAAAACTACATTTCAGCTCAGCTTTACAAACAACAGAGCCCAGCATGTGATTCTTTAATAAATGAACATGAAATCAAAATGCGGTGGATTTTCTGGAACGTCTTCTGTTCCAAATGTTTTCCTCTTTTCTCACAACTTGTTGCAGAATGACCTTTAACCCTTTCAGCAAAAGAGCCTCTGTGAGCTCACTGCTGATGCCTTTCCATCTTGGCGTTGTGTTAACACACACCTGTGTGTTGTTGTGTTTATAGAGGTGATCACACTGATGATGATGAGTTCATTAATCTGTTTCACTAACAGCCCCCGGCTTTAGGGGGGCTTTCTCACAAAAAAAGGTCACCTCTGTTGTTTTTTCTACACTGAGAAATTAAAAACTGGTTAAAGTCCGGTTTGATAAGTTTTCTAACTTGATATAATGACTCGGCGTAAGACTCTCCAGCCAGTAGAGGAAGAGCTGCAGGATTTATTAGAAATAATCCCCCTGCAGCTGTGCTGGATCACAGGAAGCACGAAGCCAAAACAACATGTGCAGAAGTGAGGAAACCAGAGAAAAGTGGACCAACCTGTGCAAGCAGAGCTCAGGGAAACAAAGAGCAGCACTGCGGCACACACTGCAGCTCTGGATGGACCCATGATGGGATGTCTGGCTCCTGCTCGGGATCAGGTCCTGCTCAGAGGCTGTCCAGGAACCGGTTCGTGGTCCAGTCTTCTGTTTGTCTGTGTGAGAGCTCAGCCCACAGCTGCATCAACACTTGATGTTGTTGTGTGGATGGCAGGGAGGTGGGGCGAGGACAGGGGGAGTTTTACAGCATGACTCATGGACGGTCCGGGACAGAACCCAGCTTCTCTTTAAGCCTGCAGTGCATGGTTTAGTTCAACCAGGTTAGTTGATGACTGCTTCATGAATCACTTGTTGGCTGAAACTCATCCTTTTTTACACATTAGTGCAGAAAAATCTGTTTCAGCAGTTTGATGTCTCCATTACTGCAGTACTTTGTTTAAACAATAATAAACTTTGACGATTTTCTCCAGTAGTTTTTTTTTGCACCAACAAGTTAATTTGGTGTCATGTTGTGTTGAGTTTATTTCATCCTTTATTTGTGTGTCTGTTGTGAGAAAATGTTGCTCAGAGTTTTAAACAACTTCTTCTCTAAAGTCTTTCATACTCTAATCTGTGCCACATGTTGCATTTTCTCAAAACATTAAGTTTGGCTGACTGGAAGAAAATCATAAGAAATTAGATTAGACTATATTATCTTTGTCTTTCACACTTTTATTTTTGAAACTATAGAAAATTTTTAATTTCAAAACCATTTAAACACTAATACAGCAAAATACATTGAAAAATAAACGGAGAGAAAATTATCCAAAAAGGCAGTTCATATACTGTATATATACTCTAATCTGTGCCACATGTTGCATTTTCTCAA